CGGACAGGCCACAGAGAGGCCGCGGCAGGCCTGCCGGCTGCCGAGGAGGGTTTGAGGGCGGGGCCCGTGGGTGTCTAACGTCGCCTTCGGAAGCCCATAGAAAAAGCTTTCTGGGCTAAGCTGCGGCCTGCAGGAACGTTTGCGGGCGGCGCGCGTGGGCGAAGAGAAGAGGCAGGCTTCGGACAGGCCACAGAGAGGCTGCGGCAGGCCTGGGGCCCGTGGGTGTCTAACGTTGCCTTCGGAAGTCTATAGAAAAAGCTTTCTGGGCCAAGCTGCGGCCTGCAGGAACGTTTGCGGGCGGGGCCCGTGGGTGTCTAACGTTGCCTTCGGAAGCCCAGAGAAAAAGCTTTCTGAGCCAAGCTGCGGCCTTTGTTTGGCCAGTGCAGGAGTGATGCCGACGCAGTAGGGCTTTGAAGGCGGGGGTGGCTGCTTAACGTGGCATGCTGGGGCTTTCGTTTGCACTGCCACCCGTTCCACCCTCCGGTGTCCCTGGCGCCGCCCCGCTTAGGCAAGGGCTAAGCAGGGGTCGGCGGATACAAAGGGTCGGGCGAGCCCGACTGCCGTTGTGAGCCCAGCTGCAGGCTCCAAGGACGGTAAAATCCCCGCACTTTGCCAGGACAGAATACGGCATTGTTGCATGTCGCCTCTCGGAAAAAAGGTACTTGGAGGATCTTGGAGGATTTTTGAGTAGCTGCTAGCGCATAGCGCAAGAGAGTTTCTGAGGAATTTCAGAATGACTATTCCTACATGCTATTCTACAGCTACTCCGTGTGCGGAGTCACCTTTCAGATTCAACATGGTTCACGACACCCCTTCCACGGTGGGGCGATCGCCGACTCCTCGCTTCAGGAGACCTACGATGATATCCACCGAGACCTCTCGTGGTGGAAGGTGGACACGCTGCCCACCTCCGAGAGGCGCGCAGCGGACAGTTCTTGTTGGGACACGGACCGTCGGAGGTAAAGATGCAGTTTTCAACTCGGGTATCTCCATCCAGGAGATTCCAGGCCGTTTCTGGCTGATATGTTGTGTTAATTTGGTCAATGGATGTTTATGGCCCGATCTACCAGAGGATGCTGATTCCCATGAAAATTCTTTGCAAGCACAGGCGCGATCACAGGCGCGGAGAGCCCGCTGGGCTCCGTTCGCGCAGCGATTTTGGGAGGTTTCTGATCATCTGCCTGGCCAAAGCAAACCACCGACAATGGGCTGGTCCTTGGTATGGAGGACTCGCAGACGCAGAGACTTGGTACATCTTGATACTGTCCTCCATGTCATCGAAGGGGCTTCATCACACGTATATGTCGGCCTTTGGCTCAACATGCTGAAAGAACGTGACGAACCCTCAGAACGGATTTCGCGCACCTGCGCCTGCACAGAACATTACAAAACAGCGTTGCTTGCTCCTTGCTCCCTTTAGTGCCAGGAGCGCTCAATCCACACAAGAAAGGACACTTTGGATGGAGCGACCAGCAGGCCCTCCACGCAACAGACGAGCGTCGGAACCGGTGGATGTTGAACAACATGTGTTTTTTCCACAAAAGAGGCTCATTGGTGAGTAACCCTAACAAGCTATAGGTTTAGGGCTTGGGTCGCCATTTGGACTGCCCCTCGTCAAGTTCAAGCTGGTGTTGTTCCAATACATCCAATACATGTCCCATCATATCCATGCAAGCACTCACCGCAGGCAGTTGAAGACATCACATGACAAGAAGCAGATTCTGGAATTCAACCATTTTAAGTCCTTGAATACACCAGCTTCCAAGCTGAACCGACCTTTGTGAATTGACTTTGTGTGCCAGGGTGCCAAGAAGATTCTTAAGGCATCGGGCGGCAGAAGCAACTCTATATATGTCACTGTCACTGTCTATATGTCACTGTCATTGTGGCCACGGCCCAAGAAAGTTCCAAACTCGGCTGCTTGTTGTTCATGTACTTGTACTGTCCAACAAGCTTGGAACATCGACTAGTAGCTTTCTTCAATGACTTTCGGAAATGCAAACTCCGATGGTTCGCTCCAACTTTGATGGTTCGAAGTTCGAGGTTGGAATTGTACACTAGTGTGGTGGTAGCCATAGAGATGTGTTGGCGATTGAAACAGGGTGAGGGGATAGGGCAGGAGCGAGCTGGTGTTTGAACACAATGGTGCAACTACCTTGGCACTTGTGTGATCAAGGATTGAACAGGTTACTGTGGATCAAGGAGGGTGGTCCTGACGGAGCTGGATCAGCCGCCGTTGAAATTTCCCTATATAGATCAAATGGTTTGCTTTGTCCCCACGTAAGTAGGTTGGATTTTGCACGATTTTGTACGATCTTGTAACCTTGCCATCACTACTAGGGTGGAGGCCATCGCTTCTAAGGTTGGAGGCCATCGCTACTAGGGTGGAGGTCAACTAGGGTGGAGGCCTTGCAGTTCCAACTTCCGACGTCAGGAATTGAAGATTACCTCCGAAGAACTGAAGAATATTGAGCCCGGCGAACCAGAGGCCAACACGCCTAGAGTGGATGTCCATGCAAAGAGTCCGACACAGAGGGTGCCGGGAACGGCTTGGAAGAGTGGCTGATAGATAGAGAAATAGAACACATTAAAAAGAAAAGTCAACTATATAAATAGAATTAGGAAACAATGTTGAAACATAGAATATCACAATAGAATAATCAATCACACACTATTAGATCTATTTGCGATGGCCTCCAACCTAATAGCGATGGCCTCCACCCTACTACAGTAAGAGTGAATGAAGGCAAAGAAATGCAGAATGTCCTCAGCATGTTGATGGACAAGCCTGCACTGCCTGAGACACCCTATGTCCCAAGACTGGCTCCGCTTCCCAGACCTATCGACTTAGCTTGATGGAGACACCATGCCAGTCACCACACATTGCAGGACTGGAACCATGAGATCTCCACTGCCATGACGCCAGAGCAGCTTGGCACCGCCCTCGCTCAGATGTTTTCTTTGCCATTCGAAGTGGGGAACGAGAGAATGAGCCATTGTGGGCTGGGGTAAGATTCCCTTCTTCCCGAGCCAGCGCGAGTCGACTGCACATCCTGACTCTATGAGCATCGTCCTGAGCACTGAAGGGGATCTCCATACGATGGGATTTCGGTGGGCCGTTGGTCGAGGATGGTCAATGGTCAAGGTAGGTGTTGGGTGACTAGATGTTGCTTTTGTTGCGTGGCAAGATGTCATGGATTGACCAAAGGACTCACATTTTGTTGCCATGCTTGGCTTTTGAATAATGTCACGTGAACCTTGACTCAACAAAATCTAGGCCACATGTGATTCGCACTTTACATCATTGATCGCCACAACCAGAATCTTGCAACACAAACATGTATGAGCTGTTCATTCAACAATGATAATGATGCTGGATATCTTTGCAGCAAGGCAAATTTGCACCGGCATTGACATGTCTCAGTCCGACAAGGATATCAGGCTTGCTTGGCACTTAGTTCTGCATGACAGCAAGCCTGATTGAAATACCTGACGATTGAAGCACCTTTTTTGAACAATCGTGTTGGAATGCCCACCAGAAGGTCAACCAAAAATGATTGCTTGCTGTAGGGGCCAAGACCATACAGTCGTATTTTTTGCCTGCATGCCACGTTTCGGCCTCCTTGCTTACGGCTCAGAAATTGTTTTCAGGGTAGCTTCTGATGGCCGATTATCCCTGGTATTTGCTGTTGAGGTCGGCAAAAAAGGATGTTTCAAGGACAACCTCGTAGGAGACTGCAAGGAGGTTGCATGCAAGGAAGGTGTCCAACTTGGCCAAGCTATTGTTCAATGATGGTTCCAATTGGAGACGATCATCTCCTAAACCTTTAGCACACATTCAGTGCGCAGCTGAAGAAAAGGTGGACTTTTGGTCTAACAATGTTTGGCAGCTGCTGCACATGACCGCACTGGTGAACTGCCACAGCATGTCACAGCGGCTTAGGTCATACACCTCAACGAAGAAGCCTTGGACGGAGCAACTGCTGCGTTCCAAGCGGTTTAGTGGGGATTCTGACTTGGCCAAAGTCGAACCCATCCGGGATCACCCGGTCTTGACTTTTGCACTGTGATTTGCAACAGTTCAACATACTGTAGTTTAACTATTTTTTGCCATAGTCTGACCATGTGATTCTATCAGAGGGCACGAGTCGATGAGTGATACAACACTGCCAAGACATAAGGTTTCGAGGCAGCTTAAAACTGTACCGAGGCACGAATACCACTGGAAGAGGTCTTCGCTGCTGACATATCAGCGAATGAGCCGGGGAGCAAGTTCTCACAATTTCTCACATCATATACTACTTATACATACTTATACTGTACTTATTCAATTCTGAATGAGTGGTAGAGGTCTGACAGCTTAGTCAGAGGTCTCTACACTGATGTACTGTACCTAAAAGCACTGATACATTCTGATACACCCTCGCAGTGGGTCAGCTACACCCTCGCAGTGGCGGTGCCGCCCACGTACACCAAGGTTCTGGGTCTTCTTGCGAGGGGATAGGCGACTGAATCCGAGTTCAGAGTGTATGTGGCGTTCTCTTTGCTGATATATAGGTCTGTGAAGTTTTCTCACTTGCCAATGAACCAAACAAAGGTATCAACAAGAGATGAATGCTGGAGAGTTACAAGAAGGATGTTACGGGCAAGAACACATTGTTTCATGTAACAAATCCCACGTACTTTCCATTGAAGTCCGAACCAAGGCGCGTGTCATTAGAACTTGGAGGCAAAGCTTGGCCAACTAAGCAATCTGAATTTAAGCACTGAGAACGGCAATGATTCAAAGCGTTTAGCAAGTAAATCTGCAGAGAATGTTGTGTCATTTTGTATATTTATATATAATTATATATTTTTTTTTTTTCAGCGTGTTCATTTGTGCATTCCCGTGCATCGATCGAACAGCGTTCTGGTACGCCGGCCACCTTGACCCGCCCGACACCTTTCCCCACGAACCGCGAGCGCGCGCACCGCGATGGCACCTGTCAGCTTCACCCTTTGTCGGGGTCTTTTAGCACAGCTGGTGAGACCAGAGCTCACCACTTGGCAGGTTCGATCCGAGCCTCGGTACGAGATCGGGACGAAAAGGGAGAATTGGGAGAATGCACTAAAATGATCTAAAATGGCATTTTGAGAGGATGTATGGATATACGATAATCGATGATATACGTATACCACTAGTAGCTAGAATCAAGCCAAAAGGGAATCGTTTCACCTGTCATTCCGGCATTTGGAACGCATGGATGTCTCACGATTAGCAAGCCTAGGAGCGACGGAGAAAGCTGCCAGAGGCGACATCAGTTTGTGCGTGGGGACGAAGCTGGCAAATGATTGCGAACTAGAGCGAGTGCCCATGTTCTGTAAAAGTAAGAGCACATTTGGTTTACAGCATGTTTCAGCTCACAGCCGAAATTATCGATGCTTTGAGAGTGAGCCATTTTCTTGGAAGCCGGGGAGGACGACTTATTGAGTCGACTTGGAAAATGCGAACGCCCTGGATGAGGTGAAAGGTGAAATACTTTGCCAGAGGGTGCGTGGGTCCCATCAGACAGATTGTGTTTTTCTATCGATATAATATATGATATAACCTTCCGAACCTGGGTGTAGTTGGCACAGCTCCTCCATTATGGGGAATGAGAGGTGGGTGAGTGAGTGATAGTGAGTGATCGCTTCGATATACCTTGCTTTATGTTTCACGGTTTCCCTCCATACTTCCCCTTCCCCAGGGCTGCAACATCAAGTCTCCGGCCTTCTTCAATCCAGCCTTGGTGATCACCATGGTCAAGGACCTCCACGGACCCACACGGAAAAGGATCGCCACGGGTGGCTTATGGCTGGGTGACTGCCTGCCAAGCTAGCTGGGGAGCATGCAACAGATGTTTGGAGGTGTCGGATTTTAGGCACTGGTGTGGTTCAACGGCACTGGTGCTTGCAGACTTGCAGCTACATCCATGAACGACTCTGCGACAACGACTCTGCATGAAGTCCGAAGTGGTCATGGAGTGACCCTCATCGGGCTTGCGGGGTACCCTGGTGATGATCATTTGCGGATACTCTCTGGTGATCTTGGGAAACTGCAATGAACAGTCTGATTGGTCCACTGTGTCCCCAAAGGCAACGAGATGCAACAGATGCAACAGCTGCCAGGCTGCCATAACGATTTCTGGATTTTGGCTCTCAAAGTAGTTGGACCCGAAGGTCCGCCTGGATCATCCACCGTTTCCGAGTGCCTTCCGGGGCCATCCGAGGTCAACTCGACTGGTTCGACACACCGGGTTTGGTCTAGAAGCCCGGTGTTTCTGTATGTTTCTGTGCTTGGAAGAAATACAGAAAAGAGCGAGAAGAAGACCTCGAAGACCTGGAGAATCCTGAAAAACTGACAGAACAGACAACCTGAAGGACCTGCAAAAAGAGCTTTCAGACATGGAAAATCCGAAGACCGGTTCCCAGAGTCCCTTGCAGTCATTTGGGATGCCAGGAGACCCGAGGGTCACAGGAGAAGGTCTTTGAGGCGCATTGCTGTCATACCGTTTCTTTTTGTTAAGGCATTGAGATGAGGATAGTTTTTGGAATTCTTGAGGTATTGACCATGTCCATGTCTACTATAAAAGGGATTTCTAAGGATATTGTTGTTCTACCCTTTTTGATTGGATGCCCAAGAAGGTTGGGGAAAGTAGGCAAGTAGGCAGACGATGCACCTCAATGCACCTTTGTGCCGACCCGTGTCGTGCACCTCGTGCCTGAAAGGATTTTCAGCATTGCAACTACGGCATGCCGAAAGATCGCATCGATTGGAGCGAACGAGCGCAGCTCCCAGAGAGGTTTCTCCGCTTGTTTTGTTTCCAGGGTCTCTTCAATTTGGAACATCATGTTGCTTGCATGATTGTCTACTTCGGGCGTGGGATGGGCTGACTGGAGAGAACATTTGCTCGGAAGAACAGCACACAACCAAAACCTGCAATGACCGGCGCCGGGGAAGTTTCACAATTCTGTGATTCTTCCCCTATCAACCAAGCCAGACAAAGGATTCCAGGTGAACTGGTAGCTCACGCTTAGCTCAGCCCACTAGCCCCCCCGTGTGTCCTTTGAAGGGCGCCTGAGAACCGGAGTGTGGGCTGGCTGGGTTGGTCAAATATGAGAGTAGAGGTCGCCCAAACTGAGAAGTTGTCATCCACCCAATTCAGTATCCAATTATACCAACCAGCGGGCCGACCCTAGCCACAGATTCCCCGCTGCCCAATCCGTGTTTGTGCAAGGGGAAACCATGATGAACCATGTCATGTACAATGTTAAGGCTAGTTGACAATTCTCGTGCTTTTCCATTGCAAAACTCATCTTGTGCGCCGGTTGGTTCTTCGTTTCTACCTCTGGGCATCCTTGGGAGCGACAGGGCCGAGGTTCGGTCCCTGGACCGCTTTTGGCCCCAATTGGACCTTTCCCTCGGCTCAGATCCAGAGATGCATGGTCTTGCTGCCTGGGAGTCCCAACAACAAGGCCAGGTCCCAAGCAGCACAAGTGACAAATTGCCGCAAAGGTCATGTTGCAACCGAGATGTCCTTTTGAACCGGGAGGTCGGACATTGGTCGTGCTCATGCTTCGGTAGTTTCCAAGTCCCTTTCGCTGTTGACGGACCTAATCCTGTACTAGGAGAGAGGGATTTCCATGCCATATGGTGCAGGAGAATGAAGGTTTCGTCATTGCAGCTGGATAGTCTTGTGCGATCTATGACATGTCAGAGCACCAAGGGACAATCTCTAAGTCAGGTTCATGAAATTGTAGTTTCTTCCTTCTTTAGGTTCTATTGGATTGAGCGATGGGCCCAAAGCTGTAAGTACCAATTTAACCTTTGGAAGCCACGGTCAGTCTCTGCATCAGCCAATTTTGCGTATGGGGCGATGGATCAAAACAAATTAAAACTCCTTGTGAAATTCAACACACCATTCCTTGTTACTTGTAGCTCCTTAAGTTACTAGTAGTAGTGCCAGGAGTTACTAGTAGCTTCTTGTGACTAGTAGCGATGCCGTTGTTACTAGCCTTCGGTGACGCTCCACAGCCAAGGTGGGGAAGGCCTCAAGGGCACAAGCGCTGGTGACCAAGGCCGGGCGGCGGATTCTCTCCGTCCTTTGCGACGAGAGAAGACCAACGGACCGAAGAAAGTCATTGAGATGGGTGGGGCACGGTGGGGGTGGGGGAATGGACCTTAGATAACTCTTAGATATGCAGATCATTTCGTCTTTGACCTGGGGTAGGGGGGTGGAGGAATCTTGGCCAGCTATGGAAAGGTGGGTGCGGGAGCTGCTAGTTTTGCAGCTGGGTCAAAGATGGGCATTTGTCCATTTATTTGTTTGTCAATTTCCAGGCAGACTCCAAAGTGAGAGTGATCTCCGCATGTTTTTGAGGTACAGTACCTGCTGCGGATCTTGTTTTATCAACACCTGTTGACGAATTGTGAGGTCAAGGATTCGGAGCATTCAAGATGCACAGTGCCAAGGGTGGGGGGTTGTCGCGAGATAGTTGATCCAGTCTGATTTGTTTTTGTTTGGGAGTCACCTGGATATTTAAACTCCAGTTTCATATTGGTAGTTGGCACAATGATTGAGAATCCGTACTTCAACAGCAGACCAGGGCCATGACCATGAGGGCCATCACCATGGACCATGACCATGAGGAAGGTTTGGTGTATGTTGGAACATAGCAAGTTGGTTCTTTGCGGACCCAATGATCTCTCATCATATGTTTCATCCTTCGAGGCTGGATATTAGAGGCGATCCAATGCAGGGGGGGATGTCCACACACATCCACACACACATACAGTAGCGGTGACGGTTCATGGTCTCGTAGGACCTGCTGGTTTGATCGAACACATGTTCAAATTGCCTTGGAGCCACCTGCTTTGCCACTACTTGGAGGTGGAATCAAAGCAAGATCTTCTCCTGAATCGTGCCTTGATTGAAATATGTTTGCCTGCTTGTGGTGTTTCGAGTGATGTGGACTATGCAGCTAGTATCATTGGAAAATTAAGTATGAATAGATAATAGTTAAATTATGTAAAATACATTAACATACTATATATATAATATATACATAAATCAATCCTGCCTAGTGAGCTAGTGTTGTCTCGGAGCACCCTGGAATTGAGATTGGTTGTTTCAGTGGAATTTGTTACAAATCCCAGTGAGGTGTGATTTTGCTCTTCCACTTGGAGGACTCACCAGCTGTTTCTGACACCTGGACACCTTTGGAATGCTGTGCAAGTCATGAGATCCCGTCGCCAGGACCGATTGCCCAAGCTTTGCGAGAACCATCGCGTGCACATGCACGATTTGTTCACCTTAATGGCACACCCCCTGCGATGCTTTGTTTTGTTCACCGCCGGTCCGCCGGTGCTGAATGATGCGTCTCAAGCAATGTGATGTGTTATAAACTAGAAGACCCCAGAATCAACGGTTTGTCGGGGGTCCAATTGAACATACCGCGATGTCTTGAGAGTGAGGAGCCCGACCAAAGAGATGCATTGGTCATTGGTTGCTGTCCGAGCCGTGCGGCCTTTTGCAAGATCAAGACATGATCAGTCGGATTGTGGGGTGATTATCAGTCTAGTTGCATGGCATTGAGTTACAGGTGGGGTCAGGAGTCAACGTGAACACCCCTAACCATAGTAGGTATGTAGGTGAACAACATCCCCTGCTAGACCAGTGGCATTGAGATTTGACCCACAGCCACTTGATTTTGAAACAGAAAGAACAGATTGATGAAACTGTATGAACCGCCGTGATGTCACGGGGGGCCCCAAAGTCTTAGACTCGCATATGACCATAGTATGAAGTTGGACATGCTCTTCGGCCTGGCAATCTGCCGGGTGTGAGCTGTGGATCACAGGCGGCCGCCATGTCTCGCCATGGATGCAGAGAATACCTCCGCTTAATAGGCAGACCGGGCTGCCAAGCTATATGCCCCAGTCTCAGTGAGAGATGTTTAGCAATTGAGAAACCGAAACGCGGTACCGTGTTACCTGTGTTGTATCTAGAATCTAGTGTTGTCAGAGCTCCAATCACTTGCCTCGCCTCTGGGTACAGCAGCTGCCTGCCATACACTTGAGTGGCATGCCGGTCTAAAGTTTTTTCAAGTGAAATCTCAGCCGCATTCTTCGGCTAGTATTGTCTCATGTTCCGCATTGATGTGCGCATGAAGGAATGGCTTTCTTACAACACCTCGTGCTGCATGCATAGGAGACCAAAATACTCCCTGCTACATTGGCACTTGCGTTTTTGCAGAACATTGCTCCGTGCTTTGTGTCCGCTTCCCTTCGACCCCCATCATTCACTGTCATTCACTGTTTTGTTGGGAAACGGGCAAACTGTTTGAGCTGCATCCTTGCAGAACCATGGTCCGAGGCGCAAACTTAGCTGCTTGTTGGTTTGTGCAGCGGTCTGCCTCGTGCTCCAGGTGCGCTACCAGGAACATTCCTTTAAGGCGCGCAGCCGATGAATCGATCAACCGGGGAATGATGTCCTTTATAGTCTTTATAGTATAGACAGTATAGAAGATTCTAGAAGAGGGAATTCCGAAAGTCAAGACAAACACAATTTTTTGCAAGTTGAGTTGGGTCAGAGGGCTTGGAAAGACCTGACGATGGATGGGATTCGGAACCGTTCCGGCATTCACTCTTATCCCAACACAAGATTTGAGGAGTGCCGGTCGGATTCCAACGTCAGCTTTGTCCACATGTAATGTGACCAGCTCCACGCAACAAGTGATGGTCGCCATGGCCGTGTTGGATTTCGGTAATCTCCATGCCCAAACCTTGGGTGTCTAGACCACATGGATACAGTCGATAAAGAACATCCTGCGACGCATTCCCTATACCCACCTTTCTCTTGCAGTTGCCGTTGTAGGAGCCTACCCACAGGATCCTGCCATGAGAGCCAACAGTTACATAATAAGGAGAGCTGGAAGGTTGGGCCCATAACTCCTAAAACAAAAGATTTCCGGGTACTGCCGGTACTGCATATAATTATCCGGTCCATTTGAGTCAACTTTGCTTTTTTTCATCAACAAATCTAATAGTTCTTTTGATGTTTCAAGGACGCGAGCGAGAAGCAGACCCTTTGGACGAAGGCCTTGCTGGAACTGTGCAAGCAAGCCATTCCCAACTGTTCGTAATCACATGAACAGGACGTGTGAGTCTTGAATTGCGCGCAATCCTAACATTGACTCGATGAGTGACATATTGATCATATTGGTTTGCCCTGAGCAGACATTTCTTGAATAGCTCGGTTTGGAGATAAGATAATGAAGAATATGATTGCTTTGGTTTTTATTCAATCCGCCAATCTGGTATCCAAGAAGGCTTCAATGCTGTGATGTCCGCCTATGACTACGATTTATTTTTGCTTATACAAGCACCCCCCTGCAGTTTCTTCGTGCATTGTTACAGTGAACAGGAATTGGGAATTGGTGAAAGGCAAATCCACTGGAATCAGAAGATTTTCCTTTGTTTGGGAATGTGGTTGAGGACTTGGGAATTGGTGCAGAGTTTTATTTTGTGCCCAGTTCAATCGTGAGGAATACATACCCTTTTCGAGCTGCTAATTTAGGCTGTTGTTTGAATTGTTTGGTATGATATTTGATATCGCAAGGCAGCCAAGATCTTTTGGTGGTTCTTTGATTCCTTCCCCGTGCTTTATAAGAAGCCATCGATCCTTAAAAGTAGACACAAAACGAAGTGACCGTGTTTCCAATCAGTATTGGGCTAAGAAAAGGAAGAAAGTGCAAGGATGTCCGAAATCTAGGACCAAGAAATCTTATAGCGCTGTTTTTCATGTCGGGGATGGTCAGGGATCATTTATGGTATGGGGCCTTCAGCTTTTGTGTAATAGCTGACAGATTAGCATGTTTACAGCATAATTACAATTATGTGCTTGTAATTAACTTGTATAAAGAACATCATAAAGGAATTTCACCCAAGATTTTAGAATCCAGAAGGGGTTCCACATGCAGCATGCAATAAACATAGAGGAGAAAGGGCTCAGATACTAAGGTGTTTTTTTCCTGTATTTTTGGTTCTTGTATAGTGGAGCAGCAAATTTGGCAATGAGCAAGGAGTAGACACAATACAACTATAGTTTAATGAATGGAAACCATTGGCAATGGAGCAAAAGCAACAAGTATAAACAAACACTCTTTACTTCGGGAGTGGTGAACCAATTGATGGGGAGGGCCATGAGTGAAGCCAAACAAATGCTTTGACAGATCGTAAAAGCAATCTGTTCAAAGGGGTACTTGATTAAGTCTAGGTGGATATCGCTCTGGCACAGGCCCTCGATGTGGACCTTCAGCCTCCTGAGAAGCCGAACCGACTAATCTCTCAGGACCGGTCTGACCAACGGAATGTTTGTGGATGAACATGACCATCGGATGGGGTTTGGGTGACAAGTCTTTGGAATTGTTCAGATCAACCACTTCCGACCGGCTGTGAGGCGAAATCCAGAACCGTGACCCAGGGGAGGTCTACCGAGGGAATTGACTCATTCCACCCATGTTCATAGGCCTTCCCGAAGCATCGATTCACAGTTTTGAGTCTTCAAGTGGTTGCAGTTTCAGAGTAGATGGCACAAATCCCAAGATGTCTTTTAGATGTGATCCCAGGTCCATAAACAACCTTTTTGGGATTGTGCCATCTACTCTCAATCCACTATAATCACTCGAACTCCAGGTGGAGTGGTATGACTTGTCCATAAACCCGTCTGCTGATCCTCAGGAGACCGTGCCTACCGCGCCCATTTCAGAGATCTATGCATGCAATCTCTCTTCCTTCGGTGCTCTCGGCGATGGGATGACCGACAATTCCAAGGCCTTCCGAAACGCCATCGAAAGCTGTGGACGCTTGGCACTATGTGTGTTGGGCGACGGTCAATAGACAAAATTGGTTGCTTGGAGGTCCAGGACAGGGGGGGTACACCTGCCATGCTCTACCAGCACTTGACTTCAGCAGTTGCATGTTTCCTGGGGTCTATGTTTGTGTGCGTAACATGTGTTCCATTGACCCCACAACGTTACAACAAATGGTATAGTTGTTTTTGTTGGTCTTTGTTTGAAGCAAGAATGCAAGGATGTCAATCTTGTTTCTTTAAGTTTAAGGTCCATACGACTATTCTATAGAGATTCAAAATTCAAACAACAACTTGTCCAAGCCTGTCGACCAAATACATGAGTCCTGAGACAATTAAAACTAGGCAAAGCTCACCTGCAGACTTGCAAGTCTGTGTCCCAACTCAACTCCTACAGACAGAGTAGTCGTGCCATTTGTGAAAGTAGTTGGGCAAGGTGGTATGGTGCAAACATGAAAGCAGACTGAGACTTTGTGCGTGAAGGTCCTATAATATGGTACTGTACAGTTGTCAAGTCGTATTTGAAAGTATTTGGTTTGTAGATCATCTACAGATGTATCTCGTCAAGTAAGGGAAATATTGTACCTGTAACTCAGACAGTCAGATCCATGAACGTGCATCAAGTCTTGCGTTTTGGAGCACCTTTGTGTCAAAGGCGCCTCGCGGGGGCAGCAGCGCCTTTTGCTGGAGAAGCCGGTCTGCACGGGTCGAATTTTAGACGGTCAAAGCTAGGCGCTTTGTGCTCCTGTTTGAAGTGCAAGTTCGAAGGCAAGATATGCCTACCATAAAACGCGTGCTGAGCAGTGCCCGTTTCTTTTGTCTCAAAATGTGGCGAAATTTGCCAAGGATCCCTGAGGGCACTTTCCTCACAGGTTCCTTCAATTTATCAAGCAAGATGACTCTCCGTTTGCTCAAAGGTAGCAGACTCTTAGGGGCGACTTGGCTGCATTGCAGGCTAATTTGCATTGACTTGCTTGTTTTTGCATAGGATTGGCAATCATGTGGATTTATCATGTTGAGTCCATTGTTACAGATCTCTGTTTGTGCCAGAAGCTGGTTGCTTCTTTGCGATCGCACGAGCTGCATCGATCATGGAAGAATTTCAGGGACTATTTCCACAAGCATGAATGAGATCATTGAGTTTTTGTGGATGGAGCAACACCCTATTTTATCCGTTTGGACCATTAGGTAGGTGGGATGAAAGACGATGAAGCGGGTCCCTCGTTTAATGTGTTCACTACATTACGTTTCATATCATTTCATGTACATGTTACTTGTGTATTTTTAGCACCGGGATTCCCACATTCATCAAGGTTCAGGCTTTTGGCAGGCACATGCACGCGCAATAATAGATCAATACTGGGTTGCATACTGTCAGAACTTTAATGAACTTTATCATGTTTTGCTCAGTTCTTCTCCCTGAGATTGCCTGCCCGGTTTGTAGGAACACTTTCACTTCTCATGCTCTGCTCGGGTTCTGCAGAATGTGAGTCATTCAAGTTGCAGCGTGTTGTTGAGGGCTCTTTTTGTTGGTTGACAGGGATGTCTTTGAGTCTTTGAGTCATCAAACAAGAAGGACGAGGAGATGTTTCCACAAGCAATCAGTTAGGCTGCATTCACCCATTTGCAACGCCTCAGTGAGACGCTCGAAGTCCAGTAATTAGAATGGGATCGTCCTATCAGGTTGCCGCAGTATACCAAATGGTGTTCAAATTGATACGTTCCACGTTTCCTGGCGCGGTGTTGTACTGCGCCGGAGGTGACGGATTTCTCGGCATATCCGTTGGTTCCACCACTTCCAAGCTATGGCATCAATCGGGACTGGGCCAAAGACCTCAGCCTAAGGCAGGGCAAGAAGGTGCCGCAAAATGAACCGTTTGTTTCAAGCAGTTCCCGGTCGCCGTGTCAGCCTCTTGAACTACGGTCAAGGTGTGTATATAATCAGCAGCATGAACTTGTATAAGTTTCTTGGTATCAAAAGGTTGCTTTCCAGGTCCCAAACAGATCACGTTTGAAGACCCTTGTTGGAGGAGTTAAGGGATCTGCTGGTAGATGACCCCAAAGTTTGGCTGGGTGACGGATTCACTTGTGAATGAGGCCTGCAGCTTTGATCTCAGGCTTCAACCTGACAGACGTTGTGATTGAAGGTGCTTTGGCTGAGCATTGCAGAATCTCTCTTGCTTGCCACTGGCTTTGGGGCTTTGAATTAAAGAACTGGCGGCAGCAGACTTTCACTCTTCAATGTCGCTCATCAGGAAGTTTTTGTCCATGTTCCTTTCAAGTCATACCCAGTGTTGGGCAAGCTATCGAGCGTCACCTGAGCTGTGCCTGGCAGGCGAAGAGATGGGTCACGGCTACGCGGAGATCGATGGGAAGGGTGAATGGTGGTGGGCGAAGTTCCGCCGTGGGCCTTTGCCCTTTGGGCGGTGCCGTGGTGGAAGTTGTGGAGAGACATGGAGGGACTGACCAGTATGAGAATACACAAACAATTTGAATCAATGATCAACCATGTCTCTTTGGTTCTGTTGTTTCCCTCGATCTATTGCCCTTTTGAAACCCTTCATAATCCAACACCATCCAACAGAATCCAACACCTTTTGATTTTAGTTACTGTATCTACATATATATAGATATTATTGACTCATGTAAAGGTGAGTCTGTGAGTCATCAGTTATACTGTATAGTTTAGTAATATACAAATATAGTTTAATGATATATAAATTCAAGGAAGCAAACAGAAGACCTCCAGTGCAAAATCCTGGCTGGATTCGTGAAGGTTGTTCTGCACCAAACAATTCTTATTTCTATTTAGGATTGACTGAGCGGGTGTAGGAACGGGCAGCCCAGACGACAAGCAGAAATACTTGGCAGCGAGCGGAGGAGTTTGCAAGAACATGAACTGCAGCGCTTGAAACTGGCAACTCTGTTGGGACGGTGAGAAAAGAAAGGGAGGGGTTAGTGGCAAAGTAGGGCCACCAAAAAAGACCACTGAAGAACAAGGAAAGTTGAAGAAAGCCCATTGGTTGCAGTCCCCTCATTTGGAGACGGACTCACATTGGACTTCCAGCTCGTTGAACATCCAAAGACGTAATCTTGGCGCATTTGAGGCCTTCACTCATCCAGTTTATGTACAGCGACCATATCATCCTGCGCAAGCTCATCCTCAAAAATCCACCCTTTTGGAACACCCATTTCTACGCTTCGCGAGACATAGTGGTGCCATGACTGCACGTGACATACAATTGATTGATGGAGAATGCTTCCTCATTTGATTTGCAACCAAGGCCGAACGTTTGCGGATCGAAGCACCGTATTCGTCGAAGAACACGGATGGAATCAATTTGGAAGCTTGCCTTCTCAAGAAGGCTGAGAAGCCACACATTTGAACTGTGTGTCATATGGCGTGGTAACCGGGTGGTATTTAGTTGGACCAGGTCCAGACTGGGGGTGAACAATCCGAGCGATTCACAACCTTGCAAGTGTTAGTATATTATGTTAGTGTAAAGTGAATGTATAAAGATGTATAAAGACTATAAAGGCAATAGAAGGATGGTCTCATGTGTTTCTTTGTGTTGCCACTCACGACCTGACTAAACCTACTGCAATCAGCCCTTTTTTTGTGCTAATCCTTTCTCCTCTTGGCATTTGCTATCGGAACCCCACCCCAACGGTTCTGTCGTCTTCTATTGTTTTTTTATTTCTTTCACGAGCAACCCACTCCCAACACTTTTGGCGATGCACATGTTCCAAGACCGAGGATTCCGTCACTAATGCAGTTGTACGCCATTGTGCCGAGGCCTTAGCATGCCTTAGCCACGAACCGGAACATCCCAAGATATATCCAGTCCAGCGGGAAGCGGCCGGTCCACTCATCCTCCCGTTCGGGCCCAGCGGACGGACGCCATCAGGTGATTTCCACGGGAGATGACGCCATCGCGATCAAGAGTGGCCTCAACGAAGCTGGTTTGCGCTTTGGGATGCCCAGCGACTCGCCCTGAGGGTCCGGAAGGGAGCTAGTCAAACTGAAACTGGATAATTGAATGACCACCTTTGATGAATACACAGGGAACCCACTGACTGTTGCCCCTAAGTAATCTTATGTAATCGCCAAATTCCCTAATGAGATGAAAGGGCATTAGTATCGTGGACCAGTTCCACGACTTGAGATGAAAGGTCTTACTTGTTTTCAGCCAGCAAGCTGTTAAAGCTTTATTTGGGTACATAGTTATTTAGAGTATGGTGGCTTCATGGGACAGCAATGAACAATTCATCATGTGCACCAGAAATCTGCTGCTGAATCAGCAAAGCACGCAGTAAAGATGAGCAATTTCTGCAGATTCCAATGATAAGCAATCAACATAAGCAATCAGCAAATGAATACACACATTATTTATCCCAGTGACACGACAATGATAAAATCACAATGTTAAAACATGTTGAAACCATATCATTATCTATCATACTTATATATATATGACAATAAAATGACAATCAAGCAAGTTGCAGGATGTTTAGCTTTATTTGCCTTTATTTAGGGGTAGTTTAGTAGTTGTTTTTTTTGGGATGTGTTTAGCCTTTTTAGGGGTGGTGGTTTATTAATCGCAAGTGGATATTAGAAGGGCTGACACCCCTTGCACTTTGCTGAATCCAAGTTTGAAGATTCAAGCTCACATGGAAGTCCCTAAGACCATGAATCAAGCCAAGCTTTCTGTTGTTTCCACTTGATGTGCATCACGGTGTGCGTGTGTCTCAGGCAAAGTGGTGTGTCTTGAGGTTCCCACATCCATTTGCATGACTTGGAAGTGCGTTCCAAGTGCCTATCAATCGGCAGCGAAATGAGTGGTGGCCATCTCAGATTGTCCACATTGCTGTGCAGAAGAATGTAATTATGGACATGTAATTACACATGAATATCCCAAACCGAATGAGCAAATGGATATCGCAACCATCCTGACCAGACCTTTCCACCACTGCCCTTTAGGTGGCATCTCCGACGTTTTGGTGGAGAACATCCACTTTGGAGATGATCGCCCAAAAAAACCGCTGGCATGGCATTTTCATTAAAAGTTCCAGGCTGATGGTGTGGGGTTGCCTGATATACAATCGTGTGGAGTGCTTCGGTATGGTCGTTAAGCTTCCCTATAACGATCTAAGAATCAAATCATTAGTGCAAGCGCGAGCTGTCCTACATCCTACCTAGAAGCAAACTAGTCGCCGTCACTTAAATTAAGTAAGGGCGGGGAAAAAATACAAAACATTGGAACAATTTAGAACATGAATGAACTCTGAATGAACATTATGAACATGCTCCAAACGGAGGACGACACAAACGGCCGTCCAGGCCGCGGGGAGGATCGGTTCAGAATTTGCTCTTTCGGAACATCACCAGCGTGGAGAGGCGACTGGGAGCCAGGATGGTGATGGTCCCGGAGTGTCCCATGAGGTCCTGGGAACTTGCGAAAGACATGCCGTAGGGCCGTAGGGGCTGACGAAAACTCACGCAAATGTTAATCATATATAAACGCAATACTGTAACATTCCAACCAACCCGACACGACTTGTCAGATATGTTATGAACCACGCTCTACTCATTTTTGTTGCAGGTCTACTCTAAGTTAGAGTACCAGTGCAACAAAAACAGCGTAGTTGTCATTGAGTAGGAGCCTTGTTCTCTGCCACAAAGTGGATGTGCCGCTAATTATCCTGAATTGGCCTGGCAAAGAGCCAAGATCCAGGTTTCTCGAGACTGGAGAGATGTTCACGAGTCAAAGATCTGAAAGTTCCTTCACCCAATGTGGGCGGCACTGGAACCTGTCCGAAAAGCATGGTTCGAGAAAGACATTGAAGACAACACACACACACAAGATGTCGATAGAAGATCCTTGCCCTGTAATTCCATGTTTAATTTAGATGATAAACGGCAGATCTTCGATCAGCAACTGGGAGAACCTGACTAGGAAGACCAGACACGGACACATCGCACCGGACATATGCAAACTAGCTGAAACTCCCCAGAAATTTTAGTGGCCTGACTTTGGACTTAATTAGGTGGATATAAGTGAATTCCGGAAAGACCAGGAGCCGGGAGGTATATAAACCTATATAATACTGTAATTGTATGATTGTTTGCATGATGTGACGCGGTTCCCTGAGGTGTGACTCACCTCTGCGCCCCGGCCACGCCTCCCAGGACGAAGCATCAGACCAAAGTCTTCATAGAGAGTCTCAGCGTTGTTCGCACCGAGAGGCACAAGCATCATGGGCTGCCTTTTACTATTGGTTGGTTGATTAAATAGAGGGATACCCCCCTTTGAACAACCAACGGGTATATGGTACCAATTCAAACCCTCTCCGTTATTCCCCAAAGGACATCATTGGACTGGCACATGGCGCATGCACTGGCGCAAGGCGTCTGACAATTGTCTTTCGGATCGGTCGATGAAAGAACGACTCCAGCGGTGGACAGCGGAGAACTACCTCCAGTTTATACTTAGCTGAGATTTGCCCACGTGATTTTATGCATTCCTTCGTTTCCGTTGCTAGAATTGCAATGCTGAAAGCATTTTTTTTGTGTTGAATGTCGGAGGAGGGTGTCGGGATGCTTCGGCAATTCACCAATATTGGCAAGACATAGCAAGGCCACAATTGAATCGCTGTTAGATGCTATTAGGTTGGAGGCCATCGCTAGTAGGCGGAGACCATCGCTTTTAGGTTCCATTTGCTAGTCGGTTGGAGACAAGCCGACATGAAATGGACAAAGCCAGGGCATCGGTTGAAAACGCCACGGATCCCCACATCTCGGATTCGCCAAGTTTGCTCCAAAAGATCTGAGGATTTCCATGTCCTATGGTTCTTGGAATGGGCCGGAGGCTCGTGCGGCCAGTGGTCGAAGTTACTCATCAGCTATTTGTTTAAACTGGTTGCTGCAGGTTGTTTTTGATGGCACAAGAGAATCACATAAATAACAAATTTATGAAACAAGTTGGATAGAAATTGGCAACCCCCTTACTTTTTGGTGGGTTGAATTCCTCCATCAGCGTTTTGCTCATCAAAATCTATTTCCATGGCGATCTGACAGATGGACATTGTCACCGCTCCGTCTCTCAGGGAAGAGGTGCAAGTGCGCCTCCGCTCTTTCGGAACTTCAGCTTCAGGCGCCAGTGCGCCGAACTCCTTGGGATTGAGATCAGCGGAGATCAGCTTCGCCCGAAATCGTTGCGGAAGAAGTACTTTGTAGTTTGGGCATATGCTCTTGGAATGGAAAGAAGGAGAAACCCACTACACCTTCCTGCAAACCACATCAAACACTGCCTTTGTCTTGGATTGGTGATGGTCTCTCAAGCGAGATAATTAAAGTTGATTCAGCAACTGGCAGGGACATCTCATCATATGGAGCCTTTGTCGTCGCCAACATCACCGGATTGGTGGATTCTCCCATTCGGGATGTCTCCTTCGAGCGTCTCCGCGCGCGCAATCACGTGAGGGGCCTCACCTGTGCCTCGGTTGGCCCAAGACAAGGTTGCAAAAAGGTTCACTCCCCGCGAACCAAAGCCTCAGCATATTAATTAGATCATATTAGTAGGTTCATGAAACCAAAAGTCCTCGTGTTGTTTGTGGAAGTAAGGAGGTTCTGAATATTGAACTCCGACGTCCGAGGCTTGCACACATATAATGTGCGGGCAGAAGGAATCCAGAAAGAGCTTCAGCTGCAGTGGAACGTCACAATCAACGGTAATTTAATTTATGTGCTGTCGTTTTTGGTTGAGAAAGGGAGGTCTCACATCACATTAAAATCTGAAATCGCCGAGCTAATAGGTGTTCATTTATGTTACCTGCGGACACTGCACAGGAGGGTACTTGCCGTCCTCATCTCCCAGAGCATGAGCGGCAGAAGCTGGATGAGTACGACAAGTTCCCGCAAGATTTCTGGATTTCATCCACACCAGGAGACCCAACGATTTCTGGATGAGTGATGAGTCAATGAGAGAAGTCATGCAAAAAAGTAGCTATGGTAGCTAGATGTACTATGTGCTCCCTGCACACTGGACGTTCTTACTTCCTTCTCAAGTTGTATCAGATTTTATCAGTAATTTGATGTATCTTCCAAGTTTGATAAACAAGCAGCTCGTCCATGGGGGGCATGCGTGATGGATCGTGATGGCATTTACTTACAGCATGTACGACTGATTGTGACAGGCTGGAAGCAAGCACGTGAAGAGTTGAGACTTGGCATGACTTGGCACTCATTTGTTTTAAAGACTGCATTCATGAGACAGTGTGGGTGGGATGCAAACGAACTCGTACGCCGCCGAGTTGGATTCAATTCTATAGCTTGCGCTGTGCTCATACGGCGTCCGTATCCCTCTTCGCTGGAACAGATCGCCCGGAACAGATCACCTAGAACCGTCGTGTGCAGTGTTGAAAACGCCTAGCCGGGCCTAGCCGTACTGCGGTGCTCCTATTTTTGTCGGTAAAGAGCATGGCCATTCAATGCCATTCATGTAATTTGGGAATTGATTGACTGCCTTGAGTTTGCTGCGCCGGCTTGGAATTGTTGGCCACATGTGGATCAGGAAAGCTAGGTCGAGTTTGCAGTGATTACAGGTAATTATCATCTAATTGGCTGTGTCAGTACATGCCTCATTGGTGCATATTGGCGCCTTCAGTTCATATCTATTTGGGATGGTTGGAAGGACGAATACTGTTACAAGTCCCACACACAAACGATCTATATGGGGAGTGTATTGAAATTGGGGAGACCTCCCAGGCAATGACCCCTTGGAAGGTTCGGGAAGCGATCGGGGCGTTCGGGGCTCTCCCTAGGAAACACGACCCAGTTTCTTGAGGGTGATGTTCTGAGACCTTGAGACCTCACGGGCGCTTCGGCTTAAAGACTTTTTCGGAAGACACAGATAAATCTCCCAGGATAGCCAGGATGCATATTGTTTTGAACTACTCGTGCGTTTTGATGACCTCATGCAGAGGATGGAAATACTTCCAGGATAACATCCACTGGAGCAACCCTTACTGGCACCTACTGGTAGTGAAGAAGGGCACGAGTGGCAGCTCAGAACATATATGGTGTGTACCCTTTAGGGATGGGAAGCTGGCAGAGGAACATGCACAGGTCGAGCTTCTAGTGGATTTTGCACGGCTGTTTGTTCTTTGGTTTGTTCTTCAAGAAGGATGTGTGCCGTTCAGCGATGAAAACTGGACAGGCAAGACCGCCATGTTGTTTCTATTCTATAACGTCGACTTCTTTTGGAAACATGTGCATTCTCAAGGGCCCGGCGGTCATACAGAAATTTGTCGACATGCATCGCTTCTAGGGCAAGATATGGCAAGATCTCGTGCCTGACGTTTCTCTGTGTGTGTGTCTCTCACCTTCCAATATCATTTGTCACCTTCCATCCTTCCATGCTCAACTATCGTGGTTCAACCACGCGGTTCTGCACCGTTTCAGCGTTGGGTGTCACCAGCTGGAACTTGTGCAGAGATTGTATGTTTCATCGCTTCATCCCTGTTCCATTGCTCAGTGTTCCCTTCACCGGTCCCAGTGCAGAACAATGACAGCTCCCTGTCCCTCCGCGACTTCTTCTTCTTCTCCTCCTTGTTCTCCTTCTTCCATGCAAAGTAGCAGTGGTATGCTGTGGTGAGATATGGTGAGATCATCTGGAGGGATGGCGGAGAAGTGAATGAAAAGGGAGGATTCAGGATGGTGATTCCATGGTTCGGGGTCTTTTGGTCATTTTAACTGAAGGTACAATCACCCAAAACTGGCGACGAGCTCTTATTCCTTATCCCTTTTCTATACGGGGTGAGGAGGCGGGGGTCATTTGACATCAACGACATAGACACCATGCCATGTTTCTTCATGTTTCTTCTAACAAGGCGGCTTTAAGGCTTTGGAAGGCAAATTATTCTGCACTTGCGATATATTGCTGGATTAGTGATTAGTGTTGTTGAATTGCATGAACATCTTGAGCTGCAGCAGCGATTGGCCATATATCTTAAGGACCGTAGGAAGAAAACTGTTTGCAAATGCCACCATCCATGCACGGATTACATGACCAATGAAGTAAGCTACTTTACCGCTCCACGCAGTTAAGTATCAGTATAATTCATTCCTGTGTATCCAATGTTGGGTGAGAGATTCACCTCGTTCTATCAAGTGCAGTTTTGGTGTGTTAGACTGTAGTAATTCGTATGTAGGAATGCTCAGTTGAGAATATGAGCATATTATATTTGGTTTGCATCGTGTGCTTCCCAGGATTGCTGCTGTGTTTGGCACAAGGACCCGGTTCTTCGACTTTCCGTGCTAGTGCTGCCCCAAAAACCTTTTTGAGCTTCTGCATCATGGGCAAGCCAGATAGCTTGGCCCCCCGATATAGTGGAGGCCATTGCTATTAGAAAGAACAGGAAGGAAGATCTATATAATATATTCTAATATATCTAGTAATCTAGTATAGTTTGCTCTTAAAGGCATCGTTTGCTCTTAAAGGCATCGTTTTGGTACTCGGATTCGTTGAGTCCCGTCAGGACTCTGCCCATGAGAACTCAGCCAGATCGGCTCCGAGCACTGACCGAAGACTTGCTTGAGATGACCTGGGAGACGTGGCACATGTGGTGAGACGAAGGAATTCCAATAGATCCAATAATTCCAATACCTGTGTAAGGTTCCTATACTATCCAAGTTGTTACGGTTGCCTACTTGACTATCCATATGTTCTAGGTCTACTAGACTATGCTCTACTTTTTTGTTTTTTGGAACCATGGGTTACCATTGGTTGCCTACTACTAAGTGTACTGCTCGGGAAGTGGTCATGTTGTCGACAATCCAAGGATCTTTCGGGATCGTTCCAGATCAACAGCACTGCAACCTGTCCAAAAGATCAGCGTTTCAGAATGGTGCAAGGGGGGTTCTGCAACAATAGATTGATGCACCAATAGAGTTTCTTCATTGCATGCAAAGTGGAAACAATTGCTGCTCTTGATTCGTGGAAGATTTCTTTTGCTTCATTGGACTGCGAGACCCCATTTGTCCTGCGGATTTCTTGCTCAAAAACCTCGTCGCCAATTCGAGACCTTGTGAGGTCTTCTACGCACCACTGAAAGGCTCCACCCGTGCGGTTCTGTGGCATCAAGGGCATCATGATTGCGTGTGCCCAGCAACCGGCCAATTCACAGGTGTCTTGAATGTACATTGTGGATGTTTGTGTCCAAATGAAATGAGATACAGCCATGTGTTATTGGATTTCACCATGTCACAAACGCTAGCATCAGCAAGCTGGAGTTGCTCTCGCTATAGCAATTTTTTGCTGGGCGCTGGAATTGGCTCCCCCACTGTTAGGGAGGGGCTCCCATCCCTCTTTGCCCTGCCTTTTCACCTGGCCATGCTAGCATTCCTCACCAAGTTCTATCTACTCCACGAGGACTCTCCAAGTCCTGTCACATACAGATGATATGGATTGTCTTGGACTCCGTTGATTGTCTTGGACTCTGTGGGTGTGTGCCAGTGCCGTATCCAGCGTCCTCGGTGCAAATCGCGAGGTTTGAGCAAAATCCCTGGGTTCCAGCAAGCTCCTTGCCAACCTGGCTGCGTAGGCATCAAGCATGTGAAGGAGCGAGAGGGTTCTAGGAGGATTGGTTTTATGGTGCCTGCGACTGGATCAGGTTGATATGATCTTGGTCCAGAGTGTGATCCTGTTTGATGTGGATTTGTGGATGTGTATTGGGGTCAATTGGAGGATACAATGTTTTTCACCAGAGGTCAGAGGTCAGGTCCTTCACTTATACTAGTAGTCTAGTGTTGATGCAACACCATTTTTGGCAAAGTACTGTAGCTTTGTTCTTGCATTTGATAGACATGTTGATGATTGAAAAGGCTTTGCATACGCATGGGAACAACAACTCTTGGGAACTACAGCACCTGTGGAGACACTGACTTCACCATTGACCACATGAGACGTTCTGGTTTTGGGTCCTGGTCTGAAGGATGTGAAGCTGCGAAAGTCTGTGAAGTGGTGGGACCTGGACAACGTCACGGATTTCTTCCACACATTGGGGTATAGTGCGACCTGGTGGCATGTCAAGTGGAACATGTTCAGCAGCTTCATGGAGACGAGTTTCCATGGGATGGAGGTCTTCATACTTTCGATGCCCTTGGTGGGTGTGAACTTCATGTCTCAGCGGAGCAGCAACTGGACAGATCATTGGTGGTTTCAGAACCCTGGCTGCACAAAGCAGAGAACGTGAGCAAAAGGTGCTAAGTCCATCTAAGTCCTAACCTCTACAACCTTCTACCAACTTACCGATACTCTTTTTGCCCACCTGCCTTCGGTGAACAAATCCAGGAGAACCATCGTCCATGCCCACTGAAAAGCACAAACCAGACGATGAATTTTGCGTGCGTCTTAGGAAGCATGAAGCTAAAGGAGACTTCACCATGCGTCTTTGGGCCGCAATTAGCAATTGGCTCTCGGTATACAAGTTTGAGTGTGCAACAAACGGTGAATGTTCAAAACGATACTGTCGCATGGCAAGCGAAGAAGTGCCCAAGGATACTTCTGTGAGCCAGTGGTTCTCAGCATCAACTATGCTTTGAGCCTAGGGTTCCAGGACTGGTCGGAAGAGAGAAGGCGTGACCAGGGTTCCTGGGGACCATAGGAGGGTTTCTTCGAAGGGAGGCGGAAGGGAGGCGGTTAGAGGATATCCAGATCATTGAAACGGTCTCAGAATGAATAGTGGTGAGTTGGGTTCAACTCAGGTGGGCTGAACACTAGGCAACCTCGGGTATTGTAGTAAGATGCTAATTTAGCTGAATAGTTATACTCTGTGCAGATGAGTTAGGAGTTTGGTGATCTGATGAGTTAGCACTTGCCTGGGGAACGTCTCAACTCATGTGTGCTGGGATGATGGGCATGCTCTACAGAGACTGAAGAGATAGGAAACACACAGGGCAACCCTGCATGCAAGTCCCATCTCACAAAGGTCTGGACACGTTTCGGACACAAGGTTTCAATTGCCGGCATGCACATGGCACATCCCGTTGACATTCCATCAAAACCATTCAAAATCGTGGCGTTTGTCCACCGCCAACCATGTCGAGTCCATCATAGGCCTCACAACTCCTACCTCATGCGTTGTCATCCACCAAAACCTCTCCAAAGTGCTCCAAAGCATGCTAAAGAAACACACTCTACAAAGCTCATGTTGAAATCATGTTTTCACTGCCTCAGGCTCATGAGCTAGGAGTTATGTATGAAATAATGGCCCAAATGCACTTTTCCACATGAGATAGGACTCATGATTTTTTGAGATACTTCCGCCAACTCCTTAGTCATCAGTATACGTATATATATATATTTATGTGTTTTGCTTTGATCTTGTGGAGCCTTCTCCTGCACCTGAATTAATGAGCATTCATATGTATTCATGACGTTTGAGCGTTTACTCTATAAGTTACAGTTTTGATTGAGGACTTGGGTTTGAGGGAGCGCCGCAAAAACAGAAGGCGATTCTTTGCAGGAACAAGTCCAGATGGCCCCGGCCCCAACAAATCTCGAACAATTCGGCGGTAGCACTATACAGGAAAGGGCGCATTAAAGGGATTCACCACTGGTTTCCATAAGTGGACAGACGCATCCCAAACCTTGCCAAAGCCATCTCTGATATCATCATATCTTTTGCAAGTTTGGCCTTGGCCCACAACAGGCTCAACTGAAGCCTGCCCATCCAACTCCTCCTTTTCGCTGGCGAGGAGGTCCATTTGGCGGGCTTGTCGGGCGGTGCATGGACCACTTCCATGGTCGCAGCCATGGATCCACGCATTCGCATCTCCGTCCAGGTAGCAGGCGGGTCCATGGGCCTCGACTCTGCAAAGGGGACGCCCAAACTCAACACCCACTCGTTTGGTGTGGAAATTGGAGCTCGAGTACGGCGTACAATACGATATACATGTATCAGCGCCCACCTGGTGGCAGCAGTCATTTATAGCTGATGTAACGGATAGACAGTGTGGTTTGAAGATGCTTAAAGGATCTTAAAGGCAATCATCTCTTCACTCAGCCATTTGGCTTGTTGTGTGGAATATCAAGATGTATCAAGATTCAGATGAGGTGCTATGCCCTACAGCATGCGGTTTTCCACCTCTTTGCAAGCCACTGGCGACATTGGCAGCTTGGCGTGTATTTAAAAAAGACGGCAAGGCCTTTTGCAAAACAGCAAAAGCAAAAGGAATCCGGCCGAGGTCTTTCATGCAAGTAAGATATGTTCTTTAGTGTCGTTTCCACTACTGGGAAACGTTACCATTGCATAGATTCACAGTAAAAGCGTAGCAATGGCCTGCAGTCGCTTGCTCGCCTCACTTTGGACTATTTGTAAGCATTTGCCAATGCGCCATGGTTGGACATCATGCATTTTTGGCAAGCATAGCAGATGATGATTATCCCAGTTTAATTGAGCGTGTGAATCGCTAAGGTGACTACGAGCAGATCTGCAATTTGCCACCTTATCCATTCCGCAAGGGTGCCAGGCCTGTGTGGCAGTTTGAGATGCCACCGTTGGTATTTTTAGGAGCTGAGTAGATCATCTATAGATCTAGATCATAGATCACCGCCACCCTTTAATCAATCCATTCGATTTGAGTGTGCAAAAGGGGAGAGAGATGGTGAGGGCCTTTGCAGTTTGGATTTGCGGATAAGAACCCCTGAACCAAGCCAGATCAGCTATAAGCTTTCTCAAGGGGACTCGCTGATAGGTGCCAAATGCTAAGAATTGGCATGGCAGTGTTGATTCACAGCAAGATGCACGAACGCATGTGAGACAAAGGCACGTTGGATACGGCTGGCGGAAAGATCCTGGACGTCAGTATTGCAAAGTTTGCAACTACAAGTGAATCATGGCAGTATATTACAAATGTTTTTCTCAGTGATTGAAATAATAACGTCAGAACCATGTTTCTTGCGCTTTCCTTGGTGCTACTGCAGTAGCCGGACCCAGGCCAGTTCATGCTGGCAGCATTGGAGTCAAATCGAAGTTTGCTGCAGATCTTCCATGAGGATGACACGTGCTGCTATGCTGCCGCACAGCGGTACCTGGTGCAGCAAAGACTCCAAGATCGAGTTCTTAGCAGACAGGAGAGATGATCCACTGTAGATTTGTCAAATCAGGAGACCGGCTTATATAGATCCCTTATGTCTTATGTCCCTTATTTTGAGATGTGAACTTTTCAGTTCTTATATTTTGTCCAGGAGATGGAACATCATGAAACCTGAGAGGTTTTTCATCAAAGTAAGGTACTCACCGGAAGTCGTTTTTGTCCTGAGGATTTGGTGGGTCAGGGTCTCGCAGGGTCCAGCTGCAAAAAATTGTTTTGCAGGACTAGTGTTGCTACAGTTCCACAGCTCGTATACCAGTTTGTTGTTTCCCATGTTACACCGAGATCTACCCAGTTTTCCCAGGCACGATGAGATCCGCAGCTATGAAGCAGCGATCCGTGATCAGCTTCGACAACATGGCCCACACGGCTGGTTCACCGCCGCTTCTGGGCTGGGCTAGCTGGATGTATATATATATATAAATACAAAAAGCGCATGCTGCAGATAAGCAAACTCGTAACAGTAGGATATTTGATGATATATTCCTGTATATTTATATTTGATGATGATTATAGTTACAGTTTTGAGCAATGAGCTGGGGCGGACTGCACATGTCTGTCTCTTTGCAAGGGGGCTACATTACTTAGAAGGTGATGCTACTGCTGTAAACTGCTGTTATTTATTTGGAGTTGGTGCTGTGTGCTAATCAGTTTTATGGTTCCAATCTTGTGCAATTTGATTGCACCTCTGGGCGACATTTGACATGACGCGCGTCTCGATGTGTTTTTTCCTCGCGCGCCATGGGATTCATGGCTTCGGCCAGCGGGACTGAGGCTGTGACGGATCACAGGCAGGATGGAGACTCGAGACATCAGAACCGAGGTCCCCCCTTTTCGATTGGCGGTGGTCAGAAACTTGGGGATCAGCCCTTTCCATGTGGTTCTATAAGAAGCCAATTCTTTTACATCTAGTGGTGCAGGACTGACTTTGTTCCGAGAAACTGGTCAGAAATCATCAGAAATCCTACAACTCAGTGTCCATGTCGTTCTTGCCTCAATGCCCAGAGCTTGTCATATTAATATACCCGTCTGGAATCCAACTATTTTTTCCTGGACCTGGGCCACAACTATATATAAAAACAATAGGTCCCCCTACCATGGCACATGGACCTGGCAAGCAGGACTTCATAACTGTTTCATATTCGTAACATGATTTCATCAAACAGGATTTTATAAAAGTATGTTTTTTTAATAAAGTCCTAGTGGTGATTCCATTGCAGATTCCTGGAACAATACCTTGTTTTAGGATTTTATAAATTTATACTGGCAAACCAGACGGCTAAAGTTGGGGGGGGCAGGGCGGTGCTGATTTTCGTTTTTTTCGGACGGTGAAGAGGACTAGCCTCCAACCTAAGAGCGAAGGCCTCCACTAGCAAACTCTCTGTGTCAGACCTGCAGCCAGAAAGATCGTGCTGAATCATCAGGCATTGGGCCATGCTATGTTGTCCTGTACAGTCATGAAAATCACTGTAAAGAAGGCTGGCAGAAGAAGGCTGGCTCAATGCCTAAAGTTGTATGTTGGACGTGACACAGCACTGCTAGGAACAGGATTTTATAATTGGTTACCACTTTTAACAGAACAAACAGGATTTTGTAATTAGCGAAGATCTCGAAGCCTTTGTTTTGTAGGTGTTCCATTGTTGTGTGGACTCTTGCTGGAGGTAGCCTGAGTGAAGATGACTGTGAAGATGGCGGCGATCACTTCCAAGACTTTGACGGAAATGATGATGGCAATGATGATGAGGACATTGTGCCACCAATAGCCCAGTCTGAATCAACGGATCAATGCTTGGAGATGCTGCGACGCATCCAGGACATGGAGAAGAGGATCCAAGATGAAGACAATGAGGTGAAGCATTCAGATCCGCCACAGGAAGATGCTGCCCCAGGGAGTAAAGACCTTCAAGCACTTTTTGAGATCCCGGAGGATGCAGTGCAGTTTGATTCTTCCAAATCCATGCTTGGAAGGCTTGGCAGTTGTCGGACACTTTCGAAATTCTTCGACATTGTCTCTGGAGGTGTGGCTCACCAGGACATAGAACCGTTGTGGGGTCCAATGTGGCAGCTGTTGTGCAATTTGAGAGTGCCTGCTGACAAGGCTTGGTTGAAGAACCATCGTGGGTCCAGGGTTCGATCCGACAATCTGTCATGGCATCAAATTGCCGAACATGAGTGCTCAGTGGCTTGGATGTTGAGCACGCGCAAGATTTTATAAACGTCACATTTTGTACGCTATATCAAATTTCAGGATTTTATAAGCTTCACATATATCACATATTTCATTTCACTCTGTGCTAAGGTCATGAGGCGGATAGCAGGAGTTTCGGCTTCCCGCACGTCCAGGGTGAATGCGTGGATGAATATGAATGCGGCCCTCCCGGCTCCAACAAAGGTCTCGTTGGAGGTGGGTTCCATCATGTTGTACGCCACCAGTGGAAAGGAACCAAGTCACATTGAGGTGTGCTTTGAGTGTGTTCCGCTTTGGGAAGCAGGGATGTAGACTCACCAGCTTTCCTGTTCCCTTTGAAGCAGTGGCCAAAATCCGCATGGTGCCGCTCCGGCGCATTGCAGACGGCGAGGAGGAGGAGGCGTGGTACGGATGCAATTCCTTTTCTGGGTGCATGCTGGTCAACCAAAGCAGGTTCATCGCAAAGCTGACGGTCAGGGAATGTTTGGCTGGCTTGGATGGAATGCGTGTGGCGTTGAGTGATGATGACAAGATCGCCATGCAGGAAGCTCAGGGCAGCTCAGAATTAATGGACATGATCCTCAGCGGCGAGAAGAAACCAGGCAGAAAGAGAACGCAGCAGACCACCGATGCCGATGAGGTCGCTGCGCAAAGCAAGGCTTTCCAGTTCATGCCTTCGTCGTTTGGCGCAAGCAAAGCTGGAGGTCGCAACATTCAGCGTTGCATGGAGGATTTGCTGAACCTGTACAGGTTAAGCTTTCCCCTGCAGAACATCTTCGACGAGCATGGCAATGTCAAAAGCACAGGAGTGGCTTGGGAGGACACAGTGAAGAGATCAGAGTTCTTCTCGAGCTACTTTGGTCATGCGAAGAAGGGCGACAGGTCAGCGCTGATCTTCAAGTACCTGGAGGACATCAAGCGTGCTTTGATGGAGAAGCCTGCAAGAAAGCATGGTTTTTTCAAGCTGCTGTCCGAGATCCCCAAAGGATCTCGGATGATGAACGACACTGCATGAGCACGCCGGAAAAAAGTCAGCTCTGCATGCTCTGCGATGGATTTCCATGGATGGACAAGACAGCTTTTCTTATATTTTTCTGTGTGGAATTGTTAGTGTTTTGGTGGGCGCAAGGAATTCATAAATCTATGGTGCCCCAATCCCCGGGGAGGACGTGACCAGGAATCCGCCAAGATCTACGAGTGTTTCCCCAGGGAGTTTAATGTCCCAGTGATAGGATTTTATAGAACCTAAATTTTGAAGCATGGACCTGGCCAACCGGACTTAATAAATCTCGCGAATTAAATTTTCCTAGGAAATTTCTATTTTTTCTAGGAGTCCAGGTCCCCCTGGAGTACACACGGGTATTATTAATATGCTGGCAGACCTGCATTCATCAGCATGGCTTTGAACTTGGAAAAGAATAAGACATTTGCACCATGCCATTTGGGTCTCCGTTCCGTAGATTTGTACACATGTTGTCCATTGTTGTACACACCATGCAGCTCGCCTCGACTCAGAGCTAAGAAGCATGGCTTCTGTGGGCGAATATGTCCGGATTACAACAGCGAATTTGTGGCATCATTTGCGAGCCATCAGCTAAGGGTACCCGAGCCATTCCACAGTCATGTTGCGTTCTTCGGCATGCTTGTATCATATACCGACATGCATGTGTGACAAACCAACGCTTCTGTCAGAGTCGGCCAAGTGTGGCTTCTCCGGGCCAAATGTCAGGAAGCACGAGCTGAGCGCGAAGGACAAGAAGCTGATTGAAGCTGTTCTTGGAAAGCCACCAGAAGCGGATAGCCCTGAATGGAATGTCCTCCCATGTGATGTTCTACATGGAGAGTCCCTTTGCCTGAGCTGAGACTTACTTCAAAGGCAAACAGAAGGGTAGTGCACAGACAGGGTTTTGCAAAAACCTATTCTACTAACGTCGTGGAAGGCGCGTGACCTTCGTAGAACCCAAGGCTGTTCGTGGACAGTTCGTGGAATGGTGGGCCAGTAGGAGAACTGACTGCAACGAAATCCCAGAAACCTTCGCAGAACTTCGTGGAAGGTATTTTTGATGCACTAACTTCGTATAAGCGATTTTTGCTGACCCTCTTTCTCCACACACCCTCCGTTTAGCCTTCATTACTGTAGTTAGTGGTGATCAGTCCAGAACCTGACACAACATTCACGTCATGTAAAGTACATGCTGGAGCAGTCTCCCTCGACTTGTCACAGTGTTGAACATGTTTGAGCAATCCTGTCGCCGTTTGCCAACTGCTTCGATCCATGACCAGCATGCTACTTCGATCCCGAGGTCCAACTCAGCAGCAATGTGTGCAATGCCAATGGCCTCTCCGGTTCGTTCGCTGAAACATCTGAAAAAAGTGCCGTTCACAGGTTGTCATTTGGTGACGATTGGCTGCATGTTCATCACTCTGACCCCCTGGACATTTCTGGTGTGTTTAGTGCAAGGCAAATCCTCCCAAAGCGCTTTTGGATGGAATAGGTAGCGGCCGTCGGTGTCCGATCGCAGATTGGTGAACGAAATGTACAGCTGAACTTTGTGGCCGACAGCGAATATGCCATGTGTGCCGTGTCTCAATAGGTTCAGTATGTCGACCAAGGACGGGTCAATGACGCAACACGGAACAACAACCTGCTTGGGAACGTTGAGAACCATGTTCAATTGTTGGCTTGTTATGGATGTGTTGGCAAAGTCCCTGATTTTGCAACATAGTGAGTGACCCCAAAATTCTCCAAATTTAAACAGGACTACTGTAACTACGGTACTATATAGTTGTGCTCCGACTACAATAAGATGAAACTCTTTAGGACTATATAGTCGAATTGAACAAATGTGCAAGCAGGGATCCACTGGTTTGTTGAGATGTTTTTTGTGGGGTTCTAAATGGTTCAATCTCAGAAGGTAGTACAGTATGTATGTATGTATGTATGTCAATTTATTTTGTTGGGTTGAAGAGTTGACCTGCGATTGACCCGGAGATGCCCTGATGTTCGCCGTGTGTGAGCTATGTGTGCAGCTTGAGGTTGGGGTGTGCTGGGCGGTGCATGTGTTCCTCATTCTGCCTCCATGGAGATTTTCATGGACGCTACAGATGGAGAGGACTAAGCAAAATTTAGCCGCCAGTGCCTGGATCTTGAAGTGACAGTGATTCTTGAGACCTCAATATTCCTGTGAGCTTTGAACATTGAGTGTCCTTTTAGGGTTTCCAAGTGAATTGCCAACCTGGACTGCCTATCTCTCACTCGAATCGGTCTGCGAGGAACATCCGGTCTTGAAGCTGGGGCTGGTCAAAGCTCCTAGCAGTCGGGGCCGTTGGGACGAGGCCGAAGCGCGGATCAAGGAGTGTGAGGAGTGTGAGCAGACCTTCTGCACTCATAGAAGACCTACAGTATCTCGTCGAGGGTCAAGGCAGATTTTGGAGAACATGAAAACCCCACGACGCTTTGAACAGCCATATTCAGGGTCGTTACTTGGGAGCTTTCCGTCACCCAGCGAGAGATCAGAGACATTTGCAACGATATGCAGCGATCGATGTTTCGGATATTCGCCGCCACCCACATCGCCTTCTCAGACGTGAACATGTGGCGAAAGGAGTCGACCTTATTCGTTTCTACCAGAGGTTGGAAACCCCTCCGGCAGTTGGAAACATAGCCCCCCACCTAGTGTAATTAGATCATGTTCCAAATCCTCTTGACAAGGGACTATACTCGGCCAGGTCTTTACGCAAATGAAACCGTGGCAAGTAAGTCAAGCCATGCTGGAGGACGTCTATGGGGGGGGGTGTTCCTGCAATGATATTATGGTGTTGCTGGAGCGTTGCAATCTTGCCATGAGCATTTACCATGGTGGTGGGAGTTGGAGCAGCAACAGAATTATTGTCACCATAGCTGGTCATAGCAAGTTTTCTTGAACAGCTCTTCGGAATGTCATCCTTGCGAGGAGTGCAAGCGTGAGCATGTCGAACTTGCCATTGAGGACCAGCAGCCTGCATTTCCCTCTGGATGTAGTTATGTAGCAGTTCCATGAAGTGTACTGACTTATGTCCGGTTGATCCAGCATTCTTGTGGACAAACACCGGCTGACTGGAGGGAAGCAGAAGCAAACAAGTCCAGCCCAGATGTCAAAAGCCCTTGAGAAGAACACAGAACCCTACCAGCGTCGAGCAGGGCCGCCGCTGTGCAGCGCTCGAAGGACGAAGAACAAGAATGATTAAAGTGAGAATACAAGAACAGGGTGGCCCCGAAGCGATCGAATGAAGATGTCTAAAGAAAAAGGACCGGCAAAGATGACGTGAGTATACGTAGCTGTGAGTGACTACTCACATGTTGTCTTCTGGGATACAATATCCTGACTTTGACTTCTAAAGGGCCACCCTGAGGAAGATGATGTACAAAGTGACAAGCCTGGCCAGACTTTCTAAGGCTCCGGAGCCGGCGTCTTCCAGGAACTCTGTCCAAAATCAGATGATCTTGGTGCTGTGGAACATTGTTGCTGAGTGCCAGGTCCTGTGTAGGAACCAAAAAAGCGCCCTTTCGCATGGTTACTTGCAGGGCTCAGCACGCTATGGCCACCGGTTTCAACCCAAACAGCTGAGAATACCCTTTTTAGAGTTCAAGTGATATCAAGAAGTGATGACAGATTACCACCCTCGTAGACAACTAGCTGCACCAGCACCTAAAACCACTAGCAAATGACAGTGTTTTTCTTTTCTTGAGGTATGCCGGTCAGGGCCCATGTTTTCTTCAAAATGCTCAACCTAACCATCCAAGTAGCAGTTTATAGATCCTTTAGAAGCTGTTTGGGTAAGATCAAGTCATTGGAGAATGAAGATGCTGAAAGTTGCTTCTCCGCTGCCGTTGAACAGGCAGTTGGTGTTGGTGAACAGAGAAAGGCATGACCTTCAATCAATTGAGCTGCAGCACAGTTCAAACGGGCAACAAGATACATGACTTTCAAGAGGATTCACGCCAGTCATCATCAGACATGAACTATACGGTAGGATCAACATCGGCTGACATCCTAACTTGTACTTGCACTAACTACGTAGAACACCACAGACCGGAACCGTGGAAGAACGCCATGGTGCACAGGAGCGTTAAGGCGTGACTGCACGCACCACATGGTGGTGGTGCATTCATGGAGGCGAGGAAATCCTACACGACTTGGCATGAACCAAGGCAGTAAAACCGTCTACCCAACAATCATATTATTATATATAGATTAATGTACACTGTAAGTGAAAATGAACTCAACCTGATTGGCACAGGACAGATATCTTCCAAGAAGCCATTTTCCACTTGCATGATTCTTGGAGGGGGTGTAGTGGAATAGGTAGGAGAGAGGTCCACTGCCAGAGGTGCTGCAGGTCTTCCCTGATGAGTTGAGAGTAGCATATTCGTAAATAAAATGTCATAAACATATTTCCCCTAGATGTCTCAGAAAAATTGTAATTTGTTTGCAGATTGGCCAAGCATGTCTGAACATGTTTGAACTATGTTTCAAAAGAAGCGTCCAACATCATGGAGTCTAACCCCTTCACGTCCACCATGTGCCAAATCTAACCGGGTCCAACCATTGTCAGAGTCAGACCTTTCAAGCGAAACCACTGCAGTCAAGCACATGCATTGTGAGAGCAATCAGGTGTCAGAGTCAAGCTCCTCCAATCTGATGCTTCTTTTGCAAGTCTTCTCTTAGGTGCTTCGTGCGGCTGTGACTAACCTGGACACAGATGCAGTTGCGCAGCAGCTGAAGGAACTCAATGGCTAAACCTTGTACCAGCTTGTGCCGGGCAGATCTATATGAGGGTTTCAGCTGTTTTTCAAAGGGCCCCAGCCTATAAATCATCTAATTACCAGTTGAAGGAATAGACATTGATGGCAGTTGGTGTTGGGCATGCTTGTGGAAAGATGGAGATCAGCTGCAATGCCAGCCTCACATGTTGTGAGGGTTTGACTCTTGGCTTTTGTGCGCCCCACAACGATGCTAATCAGTCGTATTCAATGCAAAATGCACGGTCCACTGGTCCCCCTTGGATTTTGACGGTTGCTGGAAGTTAGATGAAGGACTTGTATAATGTGCCACTGGTGGTTTAGAACTGAGGAGTCTCTAGCGGTCTCTACTGGTAGCATGTTGTGGAAGTGTAATTCATGGTTCATTGTTCACTACTACTAGTAGCTAGAAACTAGTAACATGGGCATCGCTACTAGTAACAAGGGCATTACTACTAGTAGCAAGAAGCTACTGGTAACAAGGGCATTGAAGCGTTTGGAGAGCCCGGAAGGCCATGTTTTCGGCAAATTCCTGGAACGGACCGGTTGATGGCAGTCAAATTTCAAGATCTTATGTTTGCTTTCCATATGTTTGGAAGTAAAAAAGCTAGGTATCCCCTCAGGAACTTCCACCATAAGGGTCCGTCCTATGTCGAACTGGACGCTCGATGCGAGGAGCTTCCAGACTTGATCGGAGTCGAGGACGATGGGTTCGGGTGGCCCGGTGTGGGGGGGCGGGTCGAGGTCTTCCAAGGTTGGGGGCCACCAGAACCACATCTGGAGTGGTTCGCAGCGCATACTTGGGCAGCTTGTTAGCATCTATTTTGACGCTCATCACCTTTCAGCAGCGCTTCGGGGTGCCTCGTGGCCTGGTTGAACCGATGTCTTGGCGTTCCGAGGCAGTCGTTCCTCCACCAATGCGCGGATCTTCTGGGGAGCCCGGCAGACATTGGCGGAAGAGGTGGGTGGTGGGACCGCGACACAAAGAAGAACACAGGGATGCCAAGACTGTAGGAAAAGATATCAAGAGGTTTCAAGAGATACAACAAAGGGTTTCATGTTCAAAGGGTTGTTGCATGTAGATGAATGGTTACAGACTGGTGGACAAGGACGTGGTAGCCGTTTGCTGTGATTGACTCGCACGTATTTGTATGTGCTCCCATTGTTCGTGCACAGGGTGAAGGGAGCACGGCAGATGCTGTATGTGGATAGCTTCGGGTCACAGAATGAAATCAGGTTGATTCATTTACTGTAAGTCTTGAGTCTAACCAAGTCTAACCATAAATCGGAAGAGAACAATCATGCTTTACACAGGTCAGAAGAGACAGGTATTTGCTACATGCCTTTTGCATTGTCATAAACTTAGCAGATGGAGTTCAGTTGACACGAAAGAACACCCCCCATAATGATGCCCCAAGAATGACGCTATTAGGTGGAGGCCATCCGTAGAAGGTTGGAGGCCATCGCTACTAGGAACAAGAAGCTACTAGTGACGAGAAGCTACTAGGTGGAGGCCATGGCTATTAGGTTGGAGGCCATCGCTACGAGGAACAAGAAGCTACTAGGTGGAGGCCATCGCTATTACGTTGGAGGCCATCGCTACTAGGAACAAGAAGCTACTAGGTGGAGGCCATCGCTATTGCGT